CACAAAGGCCGGGGGGGGGAGGGGTTCTCTCCGTCCCATATCTTGCTTCAAATGATCCCCCAGTGTACTGGTACAGGCACTGTAATGTACAACAGTAGAAACATAGCCAGGACATTTACAATGTACATGTCCATGTATGAATTTCAGACAATCTGTGGCCGGGTGAGCTGTAACATGAATACAGATTGCTCCTTCTTGTGATACAGTGAACCCAGCCTCCCTCATTAATATGCCTCCCAGTGCACCTCAGGCAAAATAAACTGCTCAACAAATCACCCCTCGAGGCCAGTTTAACTACTCCACTCCAAGCAGTCAATATTTGTACATGTACATGTAGTCTGTTTTAGTAATTCAATCACATGTATGGCGTGTACTGTACATTGCTGTATCGTACATGTACATGTACATTCACATGTGTGCTTACATGTAAATGAACTGTACACGTATACATGTACGTGATTATAGCGGTCATACTTCTTCCTGCATCGCTAACAGTACACATAGCTTGTACATGTACATGTATGTACTGTGTACATCCTGACAGGTTCATCTGCTGTAAAGGTTTCTCGCTGGCCAGGTACATATACCGTACATTGTATATGTATCATTGTGCACAGTTTGTTTACTCACCACATGTGTTTTTCCCTTTTATTTGCCTACCCTGTACTTGGATACATGTATGTATGCCTTGTTCCTCTGCCTCCTCACACAGAGCCCCGACAGTAAACATGTACAGTGTACATGTACATCCGCAGTGCTGTAGTTTGCTATGAAAACAGTCACGGCAATAATCTGCCCTGCTCTCTTCCCCAGACGATACCGGTGCGGTCGGTCTCCCGGAACAAAGAGCCCTCGCCCAACTATGAGGGTGAGAAGGCCACCTGTCTCAAGTATTTTGACCTGTGGAAGGAGAACGAGCAGCTGGAGTTTGTGGAGCACCTCATAGCGCACATGTGCCACTACCAGCACGGCCAGCTCAACTCCTACCTCAAGCCCATGCTGCAGAGAGACTTCATCTCGGCGTTACCCAGTGAGTGTTGTCGTACTAACTAGCCGTACGTTACTTGTAAGCCACTCCATCTTTACGTGTGAGGCCTGATGTCCTTTTTCAGTCGTATCGCCGATGGGCTGTGTTGTATTCAGGTCTTGGGTCCAGGGGGATGGGTTGTGATGAAAGTGGTTTTCTTAGAGCAACCGTCCGAATGTTTTCATCCGTAAAAGAATTCTTAAGATAGATGGAAGTACCATTTCTGAAATGTTGCTGCTTTCGAATCCTGGAAGAAAAATACAAAAAACTGTTGGTGATATTTGCCAGTTGTACCGCTAAAATCACAGCTGTGTTTGGCTCATCAGAGCGCCTGTCATGCTCGATGTATCTCATGTCTTAAGATTGATCTCGTGTACTGAAGACTTCTCATAGTCCTTTGTGCATGCATTTTAACGCTTCAGCACTCGTATCGGTACATGTCTGTTGAATCACAACCACCTCCATGTTTCAACTTTTGCCTTTAACGTGACATTGTTCGCCATAAGAATGACTGACAGAGCGCATTGTGCATCTCCGTCAAATACCAGACTCGCAATCCTGAGAGCAACTTGCGACAAGCTCTGTCTCCGGTTTCTCTCTCTCCGCAGAGAAAGGCCTAGATCAAATAGCAGACAAGATCCTGTCCTACCTGGACGCCAAGTCGCTCTGCGCAGCTGAGCTAGTCTGCAAGGAGTGGAAGCGGGTCATCTCGGACGGGATGCTGTGGAAGAAGCTGATCGAGCACAAAGTGCGGACAGACGAACTCTGGCGGGGGCTGGCAGACAGGAGGGGATGGTGAGAAATTTTGTAATTTTGGAATTAGGGCCGTGTCCCAAAATGTGTGCTTGTGTTTGCCAACAGTGCATAGCAACTGAAAGTTTAATGGGGAACGGGACTTTCTTTTCAAACTTTTTCACTCTCCAGGGAATTCATTTTCATAAAACGAAATGTAAAAACAGTTTCCCACAATGGGAAAACACTCTGAGACCTTTTTGCATGAGTGGGCAAACATTTTCACACCTTTTCACACCAGTGGGAAACATTTTCATATCTTTTCATATGAGTTTGAAAAAATTTCACACCTTTTCACACCAGTGGAAAATAGAGTCACACCTTGTGAATTGCGAATATGAATGAGAAGGTGCATTGTTTCACAAAATTTCCCATTTTTATTCAGTGTTAACTTTCAATTGTAGCACACTGTGTCTGCCGCACCATGCATTGCCAAAACCCCCAAATCCTAGTCAGAAAACAGCCGATGCAGTTCAGCCAAAGCCTCATGCATTGCATGTAAAGCTTGAGTCTTGTACTCCAAAGCTCTTTTCAGAGTGTATTTACAGTCTTAGTCTTTGTGGTCAGTTATCAAATGTCACTTCCTGCAGAACTGGGAGTTCACTGCCTTCATTCCCATTGTTGTTTGGCTCATCGGCCCACGAGTGATCCACTTTGCAGTTTGATTTGCTAATGGAAATTTGCTCCTTGCCAATGGCATTGCTACAAGGAATTCTGGGCATAATAGCACTCATTTGTACTCGTACTGTAGGTTCTCAAACTTACACAAATGTTAAAGAAATTTAGCATTTTTTTCCCAGCATCCTCGGAAGGAAAACCCCATCAAGTCGACCAGATTGCCCTTCTGAAACAAAATTCAGCTTTTGAAGCGGACCTTGAGCAGTCCATTTAACAGTTCCCATGTACACCTGCACTGTAGATAAAAGAGGCCTTTTGTAAAATCTTGTGAAAAAAAAAAACATCTGTAGCTTGCAGTTTCTGTTTGTTTTTACCCAGCTGTTTTCAGCTGACCTTGATTACAGTTCAGTCGAAAGTTTACATATATGTACGAAAGTTTACATATATGTACCGGTGTGGCATTTTCAGCTGTCACCCGGTCTCAGCGGTCCCCCCTGTGAATAGCCGGACATTAAACGGACGACTTTCCCGTTGTTGTGCGCAGAGATGGCATGACGTATTTTACCATATTTGGTAAGGGGGACCGCTGAGACCGGGAGACAGCTGGGACTGCCACACCGGTACACTTGGACTGAAAGTAATTAAGTATAGTTCTTTGAAGACTTTTGTCTATTCCTGGTTACCATTCCTTTTCTGTATCTGATCAACTCAGAGACTCTCCTTCAGTAATTCTCTGTGTACAGGTTGATGATTATAAAGTGGATGTGCTTGCTTTTCAGTAGTTAAAAAAATGGTTGTGAAAATCAGCAAACTCTTATAAATTGTAATTCCACATGCAGTAAAGCTTTCCATCACAAATATGTATGGATGGTAACTTGCATGAAGCTGGATGTTTTGAAGGTACAGTCGGCCATTTGTCATTTGTGCGGGACATTATGTTCTTTTGAGGCAACAAAAGTGCTCAAAATCTGAAGAATGGTGCAACTAACCATATCAAATTTGAGCTACATGTACATTGTACATTGTACATGTACAGTGCACCGGTATGTACTGGTACGTGTGACTTGCACTGGTATATTCCAAGAAAAACAGTATTCTGGGATCTCAACTTCAAATAAAAGGTTCTAGAGTCGTTTTTTGAATTGCACCCATATTCAGTGCTCATCTGGGACAGTTCACATTCATCCGATTACAGCTACACAGTGTTGACAGTGTTGCCGACTGAACTTGTGTATTTAAAGCAACCTTGTGCGCATGAGCGTTGTGTCAAGGCTTGTTGGCACTTTACTGCCTTCAAAATGGCAATTTTTAAAAGTACATCTGTGTACATCGTTGGAAATGGTCTTCTTTCACTGCTTTCTCCAAAGTGACAGCTTGCCTGAAAAAAGTATCCCAGAGGGAGCTTTAACCCTAGCCCCCAGGGTGTATGTAAAATTGTATTAAAATTGGAGGATTTGGGACTGTTAGGGTTAAGTCCCATGTCTGTATGTCGAGATTGCTATCGTGTAATTGGGGCGTGATCCCTGGCTATGTGGTACAGCGTGTTTCAGGTTTAATGGTTTCTGCCTAGCGCCCCCGGAACAGAGATATTGACAAATTGGAAGAGCGACCAACATACCGGTAGGGCTGGATAGGTCAGTTGGTAGAGCACTGGTACGGTATTCCGGAGGTCGCAGGTTCGAATCCCGCTCCAGTCCATGTCTTAGTTCATGCTTATAATCATTTATAAGCACCTAGTCAGTTTCCCTACTTGTATATACACTTACCCATACATGTACATGTAGTTTGTTTCATGAGTTTGCTTTTCAACAGTTATTTTATCAGTAACTTTATGGACAGCTGCAAAGGTGGGACTGCACATTTGGACACGGACCACCGATGGGACACTGTTCATGTATATCAGAAGAATCCAAACCCTAAGCAAGGCCTCAAAAGCATTTTTCCCATTTTACATGTACAATTTGAACGATGTTTGCATAACCAGCTGATCACCAGGACTCGCTGTTTATTCTTAATTATACTTTGTGTGTCTGGTAATCCCACAAGGATTTACTGTGCTTTGCCAACATCCGTTTGACATTTTGAAGCGGCTTTGCAATATAAGTAAATGTACATGTACCTACATGTAGCTGGCTTTCCTGGAGACTTGCAGTCAGCTTGTTATTCCAAATTATTCCGATCCTTATTTCTTCATCCAAATGCATTTACATGTACATGTAGACCTGTTTGTATTGTGTGCCAGAAATGTCCCATTGATAAAGCATTTTTCTCTTGACATTTTACACTTGTTTCTTTCTCTCTCTCTCTCTCTCTCTCTTGTTTTCATCCAAGGGGGCAATATCTCTTCAAGCCAAAGCCTGGAGAAACGCCGCAGTCCGATATTTACTTTAGGAAGTTGTATCCACGAATTATTCAGGACATAGAGGTACTCTTCTATTTAGCCGTGTTTTGTGGGAACAGTTCACACTTGCAGTTTGCTATCGAGCGCTGAACCCGACGGGGCCACTTTCCAACTTCACGGTCGATACCTCGAGCGTATCATCCGGGAGTTCTCCACGGTCCTTGTGCATTACCATATAACCACAAGGGCCGTTCTAGAAGGGAGCCAACTATACGTACATGTAGTGCCATCTAATCCCCTCCCCTTCCCCCGACCCTGCAAGAAAAAAGAACAAGCAATAATGTTTTGGGGGAGGGGAAATAACGGGAGAAAGGCAGCTTTTTAGGTTCCTTTACTTTCCTTCAAAAATCCTGTCAAAAATCAAGAAAATGTAGCCTCTGCACTTAGAAAGACCATAAAAAGTTACCCAAAAAAAGTTCAAATGTTTAACCCCCCCCCCAAAAATTGACCCCCTCCCCGGAAAATTGGTTCTGAGCCCACCCTTTCACAAATACAGACTGATGCTGAAGTCACTTCATGTATTCTTTTTTTCTAATGCAGTGATTAATGTATGGGTTCTGGTTTGTTGTTTTACCTGGTCTGTACTAGTTCCTGGTATGCGTTTGCATTGTACATGCGCAATCATGGCTTTTTGTGTTAAAATCATATTGATACGCTCATGAATATTCCTCAGTGATCGCCATGTTGCATGAATATGTAACGTGCACTATATGTTCCTCTCTTTAAGCACTTTGTGCTGGAGGCATGTGTTAACACTGTCTGGCTGTGTCTACACAGGCCCAGCTGATAGGTTAAAACGGCCAGCATGCCTGGATATACATGTACCTCTGGATGAGGTGTTAAGTTTTTGTAAACACACTAATCCACTAGACTCACACACTGTTAGAGAAGTCCCTGGAAGTGGACCATGTGATAAACATGGGTAGGGAATGTTGCTCCAAGTAGCACACCCCAGAGTGTTGAAAAATGAGAAACAGTGTACAAATGCTGTACGTACGAATCATTACTTGTGGCATTTGACTGTATGTTAAAAGTTGGCAGAGATATCTTGCCTTTTTTGAAAATCGGAATTACCTTCCAGAAATAGCACTGCCGGCATGTGCTTAAATGATGCATTCCAAATGGAAAATTACATTTTGGCTTGATAATGAACCAAAGTGTGTGCTGAAACAAGTAGAATTGAAATTTTATGCATGCTTTTCTACACGAACTTCCTTGTTCTGAAAAGGCCAAGTGGCCACTTTTCCTGTTCATCCTCCTGCTTGCATTGCACTTCATACCCTACATGTATATTTGTATAAGACGACGTTCCTTCTGGGATATTTGCTTTGTTTATCTGTTACATTTCGTGTTTAGTCTGAATTTCCTGAAAAAAGTTACAGCACAGGGTACATGTACATGTATTAGTGCTTGTGAATGTACATACATGTACATACTGCACATGTGTGCATGCTTTGTGGTCCTGGCTTACACCTTCTGCTTAACATATTTTGTCTTCGCTGCTCTCTGTTTCCTTTTTTTTTTTCAGAATATAGAGAACAATTGGCGGTGTGGCCAGCACGAATTGTTCAAAATCCACTGTCACAGTGAGAACTCCAAGGGGGTGTATTGTCTACAGTATGATGACCAGAAGATTGTCAGCGGGCTCAGAGACAATACAATCAAGGTACGTGTATGCAGGTGGGTCGTGTGAGACCAAGTCGGAGCTCCCCAGGCTTTACAATCCTGTCCGATTTTAGAGGCAGATTGCATACGTTGATGTACATGTACAACAGACGGGAAATTCTTACGTTCAGCTGAGTCTCGTCTTTGACGCTGTCAGAAAGTTCAGAAGAAAGGTTTGTATTGTTTGAAGTTTGCTGGGTTTTTTTTTTCAAATCAGTTGCTTGGCCACCAAAGTGGAATGATAAAGTACAGGCACTGTGCAATAAAGACATTGCTACAGATTTGACACTTTCTCACCGTACTCTGTGGTACAGTTGCAGTTATATGCCTTGAGGTATCCCTTTTCTTTTCACCGTTTCATTCCAAGCAAATTTTTGGACATGTGCAATTTAAACAGAGTTGTGTGTAAAAAGTGGTCAGGGCTTTGAAATGCACGTGTGATTTACTAGCACTCCACTTTGAAGAATGGATGATTAAATGCAGGGCAACGTATTAAAGCAAGATGTTAAAGTTCTGCCATGTTGGAAAAACAGCCTCTTGGAGACCTCTTGTGGGCTTGTAGGAAGCCTATGTTTGGACCCTGAAGTTTACAAAATAGCCTTTGCACACCGTGTTATATATTCTGTATGTTGTCGTGGACCACTCGTATTTTCCTTTGCCCCTTTGTCACCTGGTCTCTGCAGATCTGGGACCGTCAGACGTTGCAATGTGTACAGGTGCTCACTGGTCACACGGGCTCTGTCCTGTGCTTACAGTATGACGACAAGGTCATCATCACCGGGTCAAGTGACTCCACTGTCAGGTGAGATCCTGGGAGAGGGGAAGATAGTTCCGGTGTACTTCTGGGGCTGTTTTATATTGGAACCGAGTGACCGGTTTTCCAACGCGGTTGGGTACCTGCAGAACTGTGGTTTGTTGGAGCTGCGATTGATTTACTACAGAACTTGCTACTCAGTACCCAAAGTCATACAGAGATATCTGAATGTGTATTTTATATCTGTAATATCTTGTGTACAAAGTTCCTGAACAACCGCGGTTGTACAGTGTGCCTGGGTGTTTCTGTGTAGGCTGTTTGACACCCAACTAATGTTAAGTTATATAGAACAATTTAAACAAGACAGCTGGGCTGTTGAATGTGCTGGATGGAGAACAGTTTCAGCCATTGGACCTTTCCTGCCTGCCACATCAAGCTGACAAAGCAATCCTGACAGGCATAAAACTGCTCTCCATCTTGTAAGCTTCGCAGTCCAGCTATCTTTTTTTTTTTTGCAATGATACCCTTTGATCGTTCTGTGTGCCTTCCTAGCTGTTAGGATGTCTTACGTAGTTTTTTTCTGTGCCGATCATTTGTGTCCTTTGTCACAGAGTGTGGGACGTCAACACCGGCCAGATGCTTAACACACTCATCCATCACTGCGAGGCAGTGCTTCATCTTAGGTTCAGCAACGGCTTGATGGTCACCTGTTCAAAGGTACGCTCTGTTTCCAGATGACGCGTTGGGGGGCGATCTCAATCTTTCTCAAAACAAAAATAGGGCCACGTCCAAATCTGGCATCTAGAGCTCCATGTCGGACTTGGTTCTTCACCGGTTGCAAATAATCAGGCAGATGCCAACAGTGGTTGGCGGACATGGTCATAGCCAGGGAAAGAAATGGCTTACTGATCTGCGGATCTTTCGTCCTGGCAGCTCCCTTCTGTGCTGTTACAATTTGTGCAGTTTGCCAATGTGACAAAAGTTTACATGCAACTATGCCTAACATACGACCCAAATGGAAGATGGCATTCATGTATATAAGTATATTAATGTGCCAGTTTAGATATAACCATTCCTCCTCAACATTTTGTCGTAAAGAGAGAGTGAGGAAAACATTGCAATATGCACTTTATAATCTTTGCTGCAGTAGAATTGCCACTTAATGTGTCTTGCTGGATGTTTTTTTGCTAAGCGATGCAATCCAGCAAAATGAGTGGTTTGTTGACCAAGGCCGATTTAGTATTTTTCATTTCTTCAAAGGGTATACGTGTACTTTGTTGTCCTCATTTCTGTTTAAAATCCCAACCTTGACACAATCCTTTGATCAACAGTAGTGGAAGCTGAAATGTGAATAGATTTGACTTTGGATGTTTGATTCCGAGACGTTTCTTCAAATAAGAATTTGACAGACGACTCATTTTGCTCAACTGCATCACATTGATATCACAAAAAAGAAGAGCCTGGTAGGGTGTGCAAAGAATGTGTCACAGGATTTCTTTACAGTATCTTGGCGGGTAAAGAATAGTGGGTTTGAAAAATCTGCCATTGACAAAACACTGACATAAAGAATAGTGTTAAGGGAGATGTATGCTGTTTCCGGGTACCTGCTTAGGACCGGTCCATCGCAGTGTGGGACATGCGGTCGGCGACCGAGATCAACCTCAGGCGAGTGCTGGTGGGTCACCGGGCGGCAGTCAACGTGGTGGACTTTGACGACAAGTACATCGTGTCGGCCTCTGGAGACAGGACCATCAAGGTAAGGCTCTGGGATGGGCGGTAGGCTTGGATGCCGTGTAAGTTGCTTCACAAGATGACAGCGTTTTCAGAAGAACTTACACCTTGCTAGAAGTGAGTGAATCATAACAATGGAATGTTCTTGTATGTGGAACTAGTTCCTCACGTTGAGACTTGGGTTCTTGTGACTTTGTGTGAAGTCCTTCAATAGTGAGATACTTGTAGAGTGCACAAGTGGGGGATGACCAATAGCCCTTCTTACGACGGTGGCTACCCAGGCCAGACTGTCCCACACATCGTGAATGACCATCCACCGAGGCTTTTCCCTGGTGGCGTTAGGGCTATTCACAAAGTGTCCGATGCTGCCTTGGCCTGGATGACCACCCTCGACCTGAAACTGTAAGCCGTGCATGCCATAGGCAAGGAAAAGAAGACCTTTGCAAATTTGGCTTGATTTTTTTGAAGCACTATGAAGTTAACAGTAGTGCATACATGTACATGTATTTTTATATTGTCTAGGTCATTCAGGACCAGAGCTGAGCTCAGCATGAACTGCAGTCCTCTCACACCATTTTAGAGCAGTGTCGTTTTTATCTCAAACTTCAAACGTAGTAACCCCTAATTTGAAGCTAATTTGACTCATATTTGACTAATGTGAAGTTTGCATTAGCCAGGCAGTTGAAAAAAATCCCAAGACTGAGGCGTCCCTTTGAAACAATCAGGATTAATTCGGCTATCTGCACAAATCACTGAAAAAGAAAATCTTCAATTATTTTAAAACCACCGATGTGTTGAAACTTTCACGTATTGCCCTCGTCCAGGTATGGAACACCTCAACGTGCGAATTCGTCCGAACACTCAACGGTCACAGGCGAGGCATCGCGTGTCTACAGTATCGAGACAGGCTAGTGGTCAGCGGATCGTCCGACAACACAATCAGGTGAGAAGGGTAGAACAAACCAGCTTGGCAGCACTTGACATTACAAGGAGAGCCTTCAGTTCTAACTTCCAGCCGTACAAATGAACAAACTAATGAAAGGGGCTGTGAAATGTACAATGCGAGGAATTTAAGCTTTGCGACAGTGAATGTTTCTTTAGGGTTTCCAAGACCAGCCTATGCGACTGTTTCACTCATAGTCAACCAAATCTGGGATTGTGTCTTAGAGGTAATGACGTTATGAAAATGCACGAAAAAGCTGGGAGGTATTAAAAATCCAAAGCCCCCTGCTCAGGAACCTTAATCAGTACTGGAAAGGTTAGGTGCAGTTTCTCGTAGAGTTTACAAAATGAAGTTCTCAACTTCTCATGCTACGCTACTTAAAAACCCACACCGCCTTTACAACAAGGCACGACTCAATCATCCCCGAATACAAATGTCCCCTTTTTCCTCCCTGCACAGTCGCACGTGGCATTGTTGCTATGGTCGCCATGATTCAGAAGACATGGGCAGGCCTTGGAGCCTTGCCAGGAATCTTGATGACTCTTGTGTGTGTTGTTTGCGGGCCTGCAGAGTGAGTTGCACAAAAGCTGGATGCGTGCATTTCCCAGGGAGACCAGCCATGCCTTGAGTCACTCTGTTCCCTGGGTTACTAGATGAAATCAACCTGACCAGGGCTATTGGCCTTGACAAATGACATCATCCCATGATGATGAGTTACCAAAGAAAATTGATTTCCAAACCCCAGGACAAATGACATTATTTTGGGTTGTAGCTCATTTTTGTTCGGGGGGTTGTTGAAATGAATTGGAGGCGTGTTTTATCATAATGAAGCATTTATTAAAGATCTGTTAATGTTCTATTCAACAATCTCTCGAAGTTGATAGAATTACTTCGTCCAGTTGTGTGTGTTACTTGAAAGAGTAAGTTGTCAAAAGGGGTTGTGCGTCAACGCGTCCTCAGAGAGGGCAAGAATTTTGTATTACTGTGATAGGTTCGAGTAAACCTTTTGTGTATTTGTTGTCACTAAATTGAAATAATGAAGAAACGCTTCGGAGACATGGAGATGCCAGCAGCGCATAACCTGTATAGTGTGAGCCATTTCTTGGGCATACCTGACAAGACCGTGCGAGTAACATTATGTATGAGTGCCCTGACAAAATAGATGGGGAGTTACCAGTTGGACGAGAAATCCTCTTTGGGAAAGACATGTCTCTGGATGGACATCAGGGTAGGTGTTAGCAGGGCAAAAACCAGGGCTTGTGCTGAGAAGGAATTGTGCCCTTGGAGGTTTGGGGGCTGGAGTGCCCCTTCCCTAAAGTAGGAATTCGTTGAACTTAGCCTGTGTTTTTTTGTTGTTGTGGTACTGACAGGTTATGGGACATTGAGTGCGGCGCTTGTCTCAGGGTATTAGAGGGACACGAGGAGCTGGTGCGTTGTATTCGCTTTGACAACAAGCGCATCGTCAGTGGGGCCTATGACGGGTGAGTGTGTCCAGAACTGCTTGCACCTATCTGTCTTCTGCGGCAGTTGTAATAGTGATTTCTCTGCATGGATTGGTAAATTTCAGGGAATTGAAGGGTTTGGATGATTGGCTTTAACCTATTAAGGTAGACAGGGTTCTAGTTGCTTGGTTGTGATTCTCTACAGCTGGTGAGAAAAACAAGTTTGTAATTTAGCCGAGTACAAGAAAAGTGAGTGGCTGCAAAAATATGCATTCATCTGATAGAATGGCTGTTAGTTTAAACTTGCCAGTTGAAACCCTGAATACAATACCATTGGGTGCAATCTTTCCTTTGAATTAGAGAATCATTTAGGAAAGTGGAGTGTCACGCTATGGATTATTTCTTTCATTTTTGCACTCCCCATCAAAGGATTGGAGAAAGTCCCGAGGCAACAATTTGCTTTAAAAGGTTCAACCGGCCTTGTGTTTTAGTCAGTCTTTAGTCATCGTCACCATGGACACGGTTTCATTGTTTCTTGGGAGACGAGTCATGCAGCCTTTTGCCCCCCACTTTCTGTCACCCACACTTTGGCAAACGGTCAATTTAACCAAGCAGTCATGACAATGTGGTATTGTTTGCCGTGCGGGATAATGAAAGCAGGAAATGACAGCAGCGTGACAGTTTGCAAAGGGAAGACTGGCGGGTCACAGTTTGCAGCCTTTTGCAAATCTGACATCTCCATCGGATTCCCCCCCCCAACCCCCCCTCTCTGCTTTAGTGGCCTTGCTGGTCTGTTCTGACAGGGGGCAGTTATTTCCTGTGCAGATCTTGCGTCAGGATCCCCTACTATCCCCCCCCCGGGGGATCTCTTTGCCAGACTGAGTCATGTAGGCCTGAAGGCCGAGCGATGATGAGGACTGATGAAGTATTTTGGCTCTGGTCCGGCTGAGTTAACACCCACTCCGATGGAGGGGCGGAGGGAGTGGATGATTACCCTCGAGGCCACTGTGCCATCAGGGTTTAGGCTGACTCCTGGGTGGACAAGCTCATTTGCTCACAAACTGCATTTATTCCATAATTAAATGAATGGATGTGATGGGGGAGGGTAGTGCAAAGGAAAGATCTTGGTGCTGTCAAACTGCCATTTTATCTCTAGTCCTTAATTTCCTTCCCTTTCCTGTTTTTATTTTCATCCCTTAGCCCACCAGTTGTTCTCCTTAGCCATTTTAATATCAGATTTCAATCTGTTCTTTTTGAGAGTTTAACTTGCTGTGCATTTTCAAGTTTATTTCATTCTAGCCCTTTGCAATTTGATGAATTCCCCTTTAAGCCAGGCGTTGACATTTTGGCCTCTGACTCATCCGATTTTGTTTTGGCTTTTTTTTTGGAGGGGAGGGGGGTTTCAAAGCGAGTTGATTCCCCTCCTGTCAAAGTAGAGTTGAAGTATGTGTGTGTGTGTGCTGGATTCATGGACCAGAGCCCAGCATCTCTTAGCCCAACTATCATAATCAAACATGCTTCACGGTGCCTCTGTATAATCAGATTTTTACACAACATGAAATTGCACTTGTGATCTTGTGTATTTTAATCATATGCTGCTGGGTTTAATCAGAATTTGCGTGATGAGTTCCCGGGGGGATTTTCAAGATTTTCCATTTTCAAAATTCATCAAAAATTCATAACTTCGTTTACTGTGAATGACTGTCTGGTGGGTACTCTAATCTGACAGGCAATATCTATTGACGCCAGAGTATTTCAGCCAGGCCTGCCGCCTTGTAAGGAGAACCCAGATTGTGTGGTCTTGAGTAATTTCCTTTGTTCCCGAAATTGGCCCAGTGCGCTGCTGGCGTCTCCCTGAATGTCACAAATACATGTAGTGTTGTACTGGTTCAAAACAATGACGGATTACCTCCGCTATTGACAACTGAACAAAATGTTGGCAATTCCCAGCAGCTTGGACTTTTGTTCTGAGTACGGTCTTTTGTTACAAGGCCCAGCTCCTTTGTCCAATTTCGGGTCCCCCCCGGCTATGCGCATAAACCTAAGGTCTCCGGTGCCAGGAACCCCGGCACGAAGTGATGAAAGGTTTTGACAGTGACAACTTGTACATGTACATACACATGATTGGTGAGGTGCTCTCTTTGGGTTTCAGTTTGGCCCAAATCCAAGTGACCACACCCATTTGGCACGAATCCTGGTTAAAAAAAGAAATGCTAGCAAGCATCCTGCGTAGTTGGATCTGCGCTCAAGTCCATGATAATTTCAGAAAAAAGAATTGGGGAGGTCTGTGTGCATTCAAAAGGGGAATAGCAAATTTGGATAATCTGGTCTGTTCTTGAAGTATGGCATTTCATTTGTATTTCCTGCATCCTTGTAGTAAAATCAAAGTTTGGGATCTCCAAGCTGCGCTTGACCCAAGGGCTACCTCAGGGACCCTCTGCTTGAGAACGCTAGTGGTGAGTAACAGAGAAACCAATTGAGGAAAAAGTTGGTGGTGCAGGTCATTAGTTCACTTGATTTTTTTAGATCTGTTCAGATCATGTGATAAAAATACCATATGATCCCCAAAGTCGGAATGTTGAGTGGTTTCATCATATGTAGTAATTTACTGTTGTCATTGGAATTTCAGTCTTGAGAATACCTTAGTGATGTGCAGTGTTGTAGTCAAGACTGTCACAAGACCAGTTACAAGNCCAGTCACAAGACCAGTCTCAAGACCAGTCTCAAGACCAGTCACAAGACCAGTCACAAGACCAGTCACAAGACCAGACAAAAGACTAGACACAAGACCAGTCACAAGACCGGTCATGAGACCAGACACAAGACCAGACACAAGACCAGTCACAGTACAATACCAGACTCAAGACAAGACATACATGTAAGACCAGACATGACCTGTCCAAAACCAGATATAAGACCCATCTCAAGATCAGTCACAAGACCAGTCACAGACAACAGGGCAAACAGCGTGACAAAGGAGTTTTTGGAATGCTACTGAAATTCATGCGGGAGGTCTTGTGTCAGTCTTGTGTCATGGGCTCTTGCAATAGCCTGAAGTGGTCTTTATTATCGTGCCAGTGTTGTGCCACTATAGAGTTAAATGGCATTTTTTTTTTCATGCAGGAACACACGGGACGTGTGTTCAGACTACAGTTCGACGAGTTCCAGATTGTCAGCAGTTCCCACGACGACACTATCCTGATATGGGACTTCCTGAATGTGCCCCCCACCGAATCACTGTCCAGCACAGGCAAATCGCCTTCACGTTCCTACACCTATGTCACACGGTAGAGATGATCTCGTCACCTGAAGCCGATCTCAAAGGTGTACAGAACTTCAAGGTATATTCAAAAATTTTTACGCCAAAATAAAATTGACTACGGTCAAAAAGACACTCATTTTTTGTATGTATAAGGTTCAGTCTTTGCAATGAGTTGATATTATGTTTGTGATTATGTCAGCATGTGTGGACATGTCAAGGTTTTTTTCATTAGATGCAACTTTTTCCACTGAATTTCCTAGAGGGTACTTTGCATTTGTTGTAACGTGATGGAGCATAAGCATTGTGTATGATAATATAAATGACCTGTTGTGGGCTCTTGAGGGCTCACATCCTCTTGGGGGCGCACTTCAAAACGATCAGTGTGAAGAAGAAGTGACAGGGCCCTTTTTCGTGACTCTCATCAAGTCTCGTGTTCAGAAAAGCAGGCCATGTTGGGCCACATTTCCACAGAGGGTGGACAGATTTGCTTTGCACGCTCCAAGCACTTTGAACAGCATGTACGTGATAGGTAAATGGTTTTGATTGAATATGCCTCGGCTAAATTTACCTCCTACCATAATGGTAGTGGCCTGGCTGACTTCACCAGTGAACTCTGTACGCAGCCAGTTGACCATAATTGAGAGCCCTCTCAGATAAGCATTGGCCAGAACTGGACAGCAGTGCTTGGTGACGTGATGGAAGATTTCAAGCGAACTTGGTGTCCTTAAGGAGGTGAACAAACAGAAGACAGCCAACAACTGGAAACACTGCACTTTAACACGACCCGAAATTATTTATGATTGAAGGGTGCTTGAGTATCACCATGGTTCCGCTTGTTGCCAGAGCCCTGCTGTGAGCATGAGCCAGCAACATCTTTTTTGTCTTTTCTGAAGAATCGCATTCCTGTACAAAGCGTACCTGGGCAGGCCAGAGTCATCTTACTCCCTGTCAGTCGTGCAGTGGCTTGGCCCACACACACACAAAAATCCCACAACACTGCAAGTGAGATGGATCACTCTGTAGAAATTGTGGAATCACCACATGCTCTGACAGAATAACGGAACTGTGAGTCCCAGGATTTCTTGACAGTTTTCACAAGCAGAGGTTACTTCTGAGTTTCACTCTGACACCCTTCCCCATTTTGTGGGCCAATTTTCATTTCAAGATCCAGTTATTTTCAATTTTGTCACTTCATGCCAGTCTATGCCGGCGAGCCTGTCTGATTTCCCCTTTTCTTCAAATGATCTCTTGAGGGCTCCCTGCCTTTTTTACAGGGCCACACAGCCACTGTGACTAGTACCAATTGCTGTGAAGATGACACTCCAACCGTGGCCGAACTATCTCACCTCTGATTTAATAGGGCTTTTACAGAACAACAAAGTATCATAGTTCACATAATTTCACTCAGGCTCACAGACTTTTAACAAATACCCGTCAGTCATCGCCTCAAGGCAGTGTGATAAAAAATACAAACTTTGAAATCTTCTCTGGTGTTTGTTTTATGTGTTGGTAAGTTGTATTCTGACAATCAAGTACAATTTAACTAGCAAGTGCTGTCAAGTAATACATCTGGCTGATTATTCTTAAAAGGGAAATTCTCATATATTGGACTGGAGTCCAAATGTAAATAATTATGTCGAAGTTCCCTGAAATGAGATTTTTTGTTTTGTTTCAGCTGCTTATTTGAAGGGGGGTGGGTGGGTTTATTAACCGTTTGACCATTTCTTTGGTGCACTCGATGAGGTGTCAGGCACAAGAGGTTACAAATTTTTCAGTTGTTCATTGAACTGTTTGTTTGACATATGATCTTCTCTCCTTTTAAATGTGTCATCTGGGTTCATGCAGTCAGGTTTCATGTTGTCATTTGTAGGCAGTTCAGATTACTTGACCACTGTGGCCTTCTGCCCTACGTACACATGGCCCTTATTGGCTTCCAATTTGTTGCGCATTCGGACAGGCTTCGTGTTTGTAGCTGCCATTCAGGTTAAGCCTCCGATAGTGGCCTGTGTGGGCCACTGTGGCCCCTTAAATGCCATTTGTCATTGCAGCCATTACCGGCCCCTTTTCCATAGTGGCCTTCACAGGCCACCTGCCAATGTGGACATTATTGGCCACTCGCTGTTGTGGCCTCTAGAGGCCACCGCCATCACGGCCATTTTACTGGCCATTTGTCTGTAATCTTATGCCCTGCGTGTCCGCCTTTCATTGCACAGGCACACGATTAAGTTGAATTAACTTCCAATGCAAATTCACTGTATCCACATAATGTGTAGTTTATTACCAGAAACTCAAAAGATGTACAGGCTGCAGCCGAAGAAATTCTGCTAATATTATTTCAATATCCGTTTACCCTGCTCACATAAGAAAGTCCTGACTGTACCCACTCAGAATCCAAATGATACATAACTATACGCTCGGAATCTGGTGAATTTCACTGAATACATGTACATCAAAGTTTTAATTTTGACCGAGTTGTATTTTGTGTTGATAGAAAAAATGTGATGGGGCACATTTTTTGTTTTTGTTTCTATTGCTCCAGGGTCCCAATTGTCCTCATCAAGACTTCGTGTTGAGTTTTGAAATCAGTTGTGTATATATATGGTCGTACATTAACATTTATTGTCACATGTGACGGATGCACACATATATTCATGCCAATTTTCATGATAACTCGAGCACAGTTTGACATGGTAGTGGTTGATTTCCAGTTTTCTTGGCAATACTGTCTATTTACTCGGAAATAAAGGAACAGTGAAGGCGCCCCCGCTTGACAATACTCTAATAGTGCGATACTTGTGCAAGTGAAAATGGCAACCTAAGAAATGACTGTGACCACATTTTGGGTTGGAAGCTGAACTCAGATGCATTGTTGCAAGATGTTTTCCATATGGGATAAAGTGAAAAAGGTCAAAGAGCTGGGAAAACGTGGCTTCTTGGCTTTTTAAACTGTCAGTGATTCCTGGAAAAAAAAAAGGGTTGACAAGTTGCACTGAATAATAATAGGTGTCGTTTCTTTTGTATTTGACTTTGCTGATTTTGGTATTGTGTACTTCCCGTACCTGATTTTTCTCATTACAGTAAAAGTGTGTCTTAAGTGCATTATAAACACATTGAAATCAGTTCACTTTACGGATGTATACGTATGTTTGCCACAACGATGATGCAATTATGTTTTGTTGGAACGACATCTCCCCTTCCCTTGCCAAAAAAATGCACAAATTGTACCATGGAGTCATGAGAAGTTAAAGAAACAAGCCTTTGAGATCGGTACAAGTGATCCCTTTGGCGGGGAGTTTAAACTGCTCTTCAGTAGTTCCCGAACGACTAAGTAAATGTGCTCTGCACCCCTGACCTTGCAATGTCGGAAACTCAGTCTTGAAGTTTTGTTATTGCATTTTTTTCTTTTCTTCACAGTTTTGGTGTTTCTTTCATTTCCTTGAGGTACAGAATGTTCCCCTTGTTTGGTCAGGCCAGCACCTTTCGTAGGATTGTGTCGTTCGATGTGAATTTATATTTTCCGTGGCCTTTTGGTGGTATGTTATATATCCTACTATTTCAACGAAATTGGTTTCAAGGAGTTTTGCTGTCACTGTGTTCAGTGGTTCTGTTCATTTGGATGTTATCAATTGCAAGCAGGTGTAACTTCTGTGGAATTTATTCAAAGTAGATTGGTGCTCGCAAGATCACTCCCGAGTGGCTCAGAAACTTGAGAACCATTTTTCATATTCTGTTTTTCTTCATGTGGCTGAAGCGAAAACACTATTCCTGGATTTGTGGAGGTCACTTTCTTGTGCATGAATTGTTGGCTTTAAATCATCCAATGATCAATGCCATCAACTCTTACAGAAGGAATCAATCATTGCAATTGTTTGTTTCAAGGTTTTTGATATTAACGTTTTACGTGTGTTTGGCACTGACGTCAAAAGAGGTACCAGAGAGTTTGGTCCGCAATGGCGACTGAGAAGGATGCCATGTTCTTTGTACCGTCACCGATACATTAACATTAAGTTATTTGTGGAATTTTGGGGGGGCTATCCTTCCATTTGTTTTCTATTGTCTTTGTTTTGTAAATTTGCTAAATGCAATTTTCTTTATCCTTTGAAGAGCTCTTAAATGGTTTTAGATGAACTAGACGCTAGATATAGGCATCACTCGGCCTGTGATATGCAGACTTCATTATTTCACTCTAAGTTACCTGGTGAACCATATTGTTGTCAGATGAGGACGACATACACACACTATAGAAGACATCAACCTTCAAGGGTGGCTTTTGGATGATAAGTTTTGCAGTAGTGTCATCCCAGAATGATGACTTCCACGAAGGTACAAGTTTTATTTTTTATGTTTTCTGAGCAGACTTGAATAGTTTATGTAGCCCTCGGTAAAAAAGGGGGGAAAAAAAACAAATAGAAGATGTTTTTTCCTCTCAAATCGCTTTAAGTTGCTTGATTCTGTACTGAGCACAGTAGATTGAGTTGAAATCATAGATCCAAAAAGCCATGTTTCAGAATAAGAGACCTTTTTCTGTTTTGTTGGCAAATCCTCCAATTCCATTGTTATTTTATTTATGTTCTTTTTGTTTAATATAGACCTTTACTAGTATTAATGGCTTAATTATACAGACCTCGAGAATCACGAAGTTGAAGAATGACCAAATTGTCTCGTTTTGTCTCCCTGGCATATAGTTTAAAACAAATGTCTGACATACTGAGTGCTGCTCCGGTTTGTAGCGAGCTCAATGTGCATTTTCCAGTCAAACGTGTTTGACTGCAAGCTTTCAGTTTTGATAGAGCCAGGACCTAAGGGCAGTGTCCAATAATGACTTGGCTAGGCCTTGCAATCATGCACGAGCCTATGGCAGTGGCAGCAGCCATTTCCCATAGAGTCGTGTTTAAGCCGCAGCCAAGTAATTTGGACGTACGGGCGCGGCCGTAGCTGTTCTGTGAAATATTGGCCCTTTTTGATTCAAGGTCGTTGTTGCTCAGCACCTTTTTTGTGCCGCGCCAACACGTTCAAACAAGCAACCTGTTCAAGCTGGCTTGATTGGTTAGTGGTTTAGTTCTGCTCTAAGCGAAATTATTCTTGTTCGGTATGGTAGCTTCGACCCTAACAGTTGTCAATTTTCCAATTTCAATATGATTTTAGGGTTAATTTGTTTTATCCACAGCTTCAAAGAAAGTGGCAAGAACTTGAAAATCTCAAGCCAGATTGCCCCCTCCCCAGCTTAAGTTACACCACTTGTGTTCAGTGTTTGGGTCGATTTCAAGATGTTTTATTATTTTTTGTCATTTGGCTCGGTGTCCTTTTCAAAGAATTGGTTTTGGACGCATCAATGTTGCCACCGTTATTTAAATGTTGGAGTTCTGTTCTCTTCCTCGACATTTGCCAGAACCTTTTTTTTTTTCATTGTTGACTCGTAGAATGTATTTAGATAGGCCTGAATTAGTCAACGGACAAAATAGTAAATTGAATGAATGTAAATGTATATTAAACATAACGTATGGATACAAAACAATGGTTGCGCAGCGTTCTTATATTCATTTATTCCCGTCGTGTATCCCACAGTTAGTTATTGTTGACTTGCAGTACTTGTCCAGCCCCCCTTTCGCCGTTTTGTGTTCAGGGACACCCTTCATGCCTTTGAGAACACAACCCAGTAAACGGTTAACAAATAGTCCCAGCCTTTAATTAATCTTTCGATTTTTAAAGATTGCTGACCGTGCGGCAACTCTCTTGAAATACCGAGAGAGCGGTTTTCAGTGTGGCCAGCAAAACAGCAGTAGGAACATGCAATCTTGTTCACCTTTTTTTTTTTAGTTACAGTTCTGTGCCCAATGCCTCCAAGGGTTTAGGAATTGGAGTGATTTTCCAAGGGGCTGTCTGAGAAAGGGAGTTGGCTGTAGAGTGTATCATGGTCCCGTGGAAAGGACAGGTGCCTCTAATTTGCGAGATCATTTTCTAATTCCATCACTGGACAAGAAGACCTTGATGGGGCAGGTGCTACTAAGTGGCAAAATGTTCATCATCAGTGGGTGGATGTGCGGACAATTGACTTTGTGGGTGTTGAAAAGGGTCATACGATGAATTTTTTTCCTAGACACACATCTTGGCAAATTGTGTATTTGGAAATAAGTTGTGATGATTGTGTCCTTGCTCTATGGTTAAACATAACGAAAGTGCACATTTTCAAACATTAATTTCTATGCTTTTTGATGAAGGGGGCGCTCTGAAACAACTGTCGATTTTTAATCCCCCTTATGTCTTTCTTGTCTATTTTCCATGTCCTTTTAATTTTCCCCAGTTTTTGTCAATGGGCGTGTGTTGTTGACAGATTAGGGGTAAGTGGGGGGGGGACCTCTCCCCATCCCTTCTGAAGCCCTGATGGGCCTCAGTCCATATCTTGGTAAGACATCTTCCATACTCGGACCACCTCCACGCCCACTTGAAATGAAAAACAACAAATATAACACAGACACCTTGGACAAACTGGAATTGGGGAGAAACAAACTCACGAGACCTAACCGTTAAATTTGAGTTGATTGGAGAAGATGTCCTCGTTAGAGATGCAGTCGCCACAATTTGGCCATGCTGTGCTACGGTCGTGTGCTGTCGACAGCACAGCGGGTGACGAATTCAGCCATCACAAATGTTACAAACAGTGCATAGCGATCCCAGGAGGTGGCGGTGATGTTTTGAGAGGAAAAACCTTTATGGGGAAGAATTTGATGGAAAAAATGCTTGGAGATGACAACTAGTAGGACGGGGGACTGCGTAGACTGAGGAAGACACCAGAACATTGCAGGGTGAGGCTATAAGCCAGGCACTCCGTGCATGATGTCACCAAGCAAAGCTCGCGCTGCATTGAAAACCATGGCAGACCGACTACAGACAGACACACTGCAAGCAACACATGGGTGTCGTGGCACACGTGCATATGTGTAGCTACCATTAGCGCACGGTGGTCGCTTTTATCCGTTTATTTTCGCGACTTCGTGTATCATCAAGACAACACGTAAGATATTAGTCTCTGAGGAATTGCTGGCACACCTACGTGGCATGGAGTAAGTACAATATATTTGGCTTTTATTATTCTACACTTAGACATGTACTTTACAGGAATAAAACTCATAGGCCTAGTCCTTGAGATTATAGAGAAAGGAAAAGACCATGTTGAGACTAATCCTGGGAGTAGGGGACCAGGATCAACACTAGGCATGCTTACAGTATATGTACATGGCCCATTTCTGTGAAAATGACATGAGTAGCTTTAGTAAATATAGAAAGGTTTGCAAATATACGTTTGACCTAAAATATACTGAAATACATGCAAGGTCTGAATATTTCGTGTATTGTGTGTCTTTCGACGTGTTGAAATTTCAGGTTTTGTTATTTAAATACATGCAAATGTGCTGTGCCCTCTGACCTTTCTTGAAATTGCGCAATCCTAACCTTTAAATATATGTTCCGAAACTATATCTACCAAGAGGCCTACGGCCTGGTGGTTAGCGAGCTGGCTGCCAGGCCAGGGGATCCCGGTTCAAATCCCGGGGTCCCCGGAAAAGGAAGTTTTTTTTTTTTTTTTTTTTTTTATACTAAGTTTTTTAACAAAATTGTGCATGCCCACCTGGAATTGAACCCAGGTCCTTGTGCATAGCAGTTAGTGTCCTTAACCGCTATGCCACGGCACTTTCTTGAAGAAATGTGCTCGTTTCTAAATGTTAAACCTTCCATTGTTTGGACTTAGAATATTTTTCAGCCAAACTCTGTACTGGAGATAGGCAAGGGTGGAAGGCCTAGGGGCTGGAAGTCTGAGAGCTGATAGCAAGGGTAGAGTGGATGGCTGAGGGCTTGGGACTATCAGTATTAGAGCTCTGAGGATCCAATGGGGTTGAAGGACATAGCTTCTTAATGGTCTACATTGCTTTTGGATTTGTTGTAGCCCTTATAAAATTGAGACTAAAAGGCTCCAAGAGGGAACTTTATATAAGGAGCTTGGAAGATGTTTAAGACTGGCAGGGCTTCCATGTAGGATAAGGCTGTAATGTAAAATCTAAAGATGAAAACAGATGTACCTTAAACTCTTGCAGTGTAAAATGGCCCAGATTAGGAGAAGAGTTGAGTGGCAAAGTACTACAGTTTTACAAATAGATATACATGTACAAACAAGTTGTTCTGCTAGTTTAAATAAATGAACATTTATTTCAATTGCAAATAGCAATTAACTGGTTATGGCAATAAATGGTGATTGTTTGACATACACACAAAGCATTTTTGCAAGGTAATATTTTCAAACAAAACAAATTTCATGTCAGTGCTAAAAGGTCCTTAGAATGCACTAAAAGGTGTTTAGTGAAAAATATTGTTTTGGACATTATTTGGGAAACGGAATAGGTTAAATTTTGTTGGCTGCAAAAAACTAGGTTTAAGAAACTGTTTGAATCAAATATTCCTTTCGTGCACAGAATAAGGCCCTTAGAGTGTTTTCAAAAATTACATTTTTGCAGTAATTAACTTTCAACACGGAGCCAACAATTTGCGACTTGCAGTTTTGTGATAATTTTATGTGAAAGACTTTTAAGTGTTCTGGCAATGTGGATGTACAACTTGGAAAACACAAAATGCACATAGAACTTTGTCCAAGGAAAAATTTTTTATAAAGATGAACAAAGAAATTGGCTGGAACAGGATTTGAACTTGCGACCTCTGGAACACCCTACCAGTGCTCTACCAACTGAGCTGTCCAGCCCTATGTCAGTGATAATATCTCTGTTCGGTGGGGCGAACTTGTTAAAAGTGAGGTTCAGAACAGCCATAGGGATGACTGAACAATGCCGGTATTTTGGCTGCCTGAATGGGAACACCATTTAATTTTTAAAAGCAGGCAACAGTTACAAGCTTTTAGTCCTCAAAAGAAGTAGTATCAAAGTGTCTAGAGTCTTTCCAAATCCTCATTATTTGCAAATTTTAAAGTACATCTATAGCATCTTGATAACTTAAATGTAAACATGAATGTTTTTAAATGTGCATTAATGAGTCAATGTATTACAATGAAAAGAAACAAATTAAAGGCGAACAATAGTCTTTCATCAAAAGCAAACTGACCAATTTTCTAATCAATTTACAGAGTACCTCTTAAGTCATGAATAATATGGATATAAGTACTACAGTACGTCACTATAGTGAACAATTCGGTACACGGAACATGCCTCTTGACTGTCAAATTTTCTGCGCACTTTTACTGAACATCACAAATTTGCTTTAAATTTATAGAAAAAAAACAAAACCAGTGACTCAAAAGTTCAGATGTCAATAATGTCCGAAATAGGAATGGCTATGTTATGAGCCCATAGCAAAAAAAGCAGCCGCACAACAGAATCTCTTGTACACGGACAAGAACGCACACGTAGGTGTGTGTAACAACTGACATTGCAACATATTGTAGGAAATAGCGCCCTCTTTTGCCAGGAACGGTACCAATGAAATCGCAATGGTTGGGGAGGTATGCCATACCAAGCATTGTGTATGGACCCTGCCCTGTTCATTATAGCAGCATTGTACTGTAAACAAACATACACTACTCAAAAAAATAAAGGATCAAACATTTGTCTTTGAAAATTTCAACCAGGTGTGTACCTCATTGACTTTACTTATTGTACCCTGAAGCTCATGTTCATGTTTGGTTGAACACCATAGAACGTGAGACAATGCAACTGGTTAGGCGTGTTTCACAGCCCAATTAGCTGGAAGGGTAAAAAAGCATTGGGTGATGTGTATTGCTCAGGTATTGCACAACTTCAAAATGGCCACCTTTCACTCTCTTTGCACATAAATTAAAGATGGGATGACTCTGAGGCAAGGGGGAGAGAGACTGGGAGTGTCTTAGAGAGTTTGGGGGGGGGTACAATGACATGAGACGGGCCAGTACTATACAACCCTATTGTGGTAAAATGATGTACATGTACATGTATGAGTCTCACTTGAGGACATTTTGAGAAAAAGTGACTGAAATGTTGGACCTCTTACCATTTTGTGTTTAGGTTTTGGAAATCTGTGAAGCTGTTTATAATGTCCAAACAACCAGGAATTTGATTTGTTTTTTACCAATCATCATTTTTACAGATAATATGGGGGAAGATTTGCAAACAGATACCTGTCAGACATTGCGTTATTTTACTGAATAAAAGGGTCTCAACAGCTACGTGTAATTTTTTCATGCTGAGATACATACATCTTCAAAGTGCTTCATTTCTGTGATGCAGAATCACAAAGAGTGCCCTCACATTACCAGAATATACTCATAAATAGCGCCCTCACATTACCACAATATCATTTTAACTCATATTACTGCGATATCATTCTAACTCATAAACAGCGCGCCCTCATGTTACTTGGTTAAAACTCAATTTTTTTATTCATCATTTTCAGGGCCGTAAAGGACCTGGACAAGTTTTTTCTTCCAGTGTCGTGAGACTTCAGTACTCTGAAGCGAAAGTTTCTTGTCTTGATGCCAGAAAATGGCCAAATTAAATGATGCTCATTTTTTGCTATGTGAATACCATTTGAAGGTGAATACCATTAAATTATTAATCGCCACGTATGATCCTTTGATCCTTTGAGTAGTGTACAGATGCAGCTAGACTTGCTCCATCACTAAGGTGGAAGCAAGGAACTGCATATCTCTGAGAAGATTGAGTCCATTCCTTGCCTTTTTGTGAATCAATGCCTAAGGTTCTGAAGAGGATCCCTCATGCAATCTTGGAAACTGTTCCTCCTCAGTGATGGAGGCGAGGACTGGCATCTGAGTTACTTCCTCTCTTTGAAATTCTGATAAATCGTCTCTGTGAAGTCTCATAGGAACTTGTCCTCCATCTTCCTTCTGTCCAGGTTGAAGGAGGCGAGGGCGCTCTTCTCATCAACATCATGATCTGTTTCTCCTGGGGCATACCCACAGCTTTCATATGAGGAGGTCTGGGGAAGAAATTAATCACAAAAGGAACTAAGTTGCAGAAATTGAGACATTTCTTCACAAATTAGAGGATCCTTGTACACTTCTTGTTTTCAAACCTTTTATTTCACAAAAACTGTTAGTGTCTGTTGTTTTCATCCATTTTCATGTCAGAAAATGAACAATGACAAGAGGATTCCTCTGACACTGCTAACCCAGTACTTCTGAAAGCATTTGTGATTTGTACTCTTTGTTAAAAATATTTTTCCAGTTTAGTGAATCAAAACGTGACTTTTTAAACACTTGAAGTTGTCTTTCCCTTTTCCTAAAAAGTGAGGGCTCTGTTTTACAGTAATACTGTAACGTCAATCAGGGAAGATCACAAACCTAATATATCTATGAACCAACAGGTCCTACAGAAATCAACGATTAATCCCGAAAGCGAGGGCAGAAAAATTTCAACGGAGTGCACAACTCTGTTGAGTTGGATACAAATCGGAAATTTTAGATGGTGACATGGTCCCTTTTTGTGTTTTGGTTCAATATTTGTCAAATATAAGGTAGATACTTCTTTAAACAAGAGCTCTGAACACTTAAACTTTTGTCCATATTCACTGCTCACCTTCAAAAGCCTGAAAAAATCCCCATAATGTATGTGATTTAAATTTCTAGAGTTTATTTTTAAATTGTTTTGGAACCGCAGTTCTCAGTGCTCTATCATATAAAACGAGAAAATATTTTAAATTTGCTTTTCAAAATATTCACTAAACAGGAAAGTCAGGAACTTATCTGAATTTCAAATAATGTACAGTACACCTTGGCTCCCACTAAAGGTTTGTAATAATGGGCAATATTACCAGGAAGAAAAATCAAACTGTGTCTGGGTTAGACTAACGGGGNCCAAATAATGGTTGATGGACAACTGCCACAGTTGACCCCCATCCACATTCTTTGTAGAGCAACGCAGCCCAGTAAATCATGACACCCTAGGGGACAAGGCAGCCATTTGCTTATGGTTATTAAAAATGGAGAGTTTCCTTAAATTATGCCCCTACTGTTGTCGGTCTAAAGGTATTTTATGTCTATGATTAGACGCTTCATTTCATGAGTTTTACCCAAATTGCTCCTTGAACATGTTGAACATGTCTCAGGAAACGTGGACCATTGATCAATGGTAAATTGTCATGAAACAGCAACGAACCATAAAGGAAAAGGAAACTTGACCAGGAAAATGTGAACACTTCCAGTATAGTGGGTGCTTTCAACTAGCTTGCCCTGGTTACAAGGGTTTAACCTCATCCCTATTGTCTTGCTTAGTTGACACATTGCACACAACCAACCTAGGTAAGGGTTGCCATGAAAGGAGATACATAGCTCCCTGAAAGCTAGCCATAAGCACCCAAGGGTGGATCCAGGACCCAATTTTTTTTAGGGGGAGCGGGGACAAACTTGATTATGGGGGCCCATTTTCTTTAAGATTTAAAGTTGTTTGAGGGGTTAATAGGCTACATTTCCACTTTTCAAAAGAAGGGAAATTAAACAGACTAAAAGGAGCCTTTCATTTTTTCAAATGAAAACAGTTTTTGCTCCTTTTTTGGTCATGACCCCACCTGGCCCCTCCCCCTTTCCCCGATTCATCCTTGCAGAAAGCCAGCAATGATATGAAACAGAGGACTCTTACCTGTCCTACTTATGACGTAACCTGCCTCTTCACTTTGGAGATATCATCGGTCAGTCCACTTGCACCATGATGCTAGCCAGCCTCAACGTTCATGTAGGCAGCCATGGCAGTACATTCACCTGGCAATGAGGCCTTCCCAAATCTAAACACAGGGAAAAATGACAAAAAACAAGAAAAGGTCTCCTAAGGTTTTTCAATCACACTGCAATAATAATTTTTTCCCCAAATGAGCAAAACATCCACGTATCAACCCATCACCACATAGACTCTTATTGTGGGTCGCTATTAAGATCCATAAAACTATACAGTGCTGGGAAGCGCAGGGTGGAACAGGCTGGGTGGGTCAGGGCCCAATTTCGTGGAGCTTCTTAACACAGTCAGAAGAAAAATTGGGCTAACTTTAGCAGAAAAATGTGCTAACCTTGAGCACTATTTCATGGTGGTGGTCGGGGTGGTTGTGCTAATGGTTGCGTGCGGATAGAGATTTCTGTTGTTACGCCACTAAGTTTAAGCAAATCGTTCCTCCAAGGTTAGGAAGGCATTTGGCTGTACTTACTGTTTACGGTATGCAGGAAATACGCAGAGCCTCTGTAAATGTGAAATCGTGTGCAAAGCAGCGCTGAGAAATTGGGCTCTGATTGTCACAAGCAAGGTTCCCACGAAATCTGAAAATTAAATTCAGTGACCTTTCCTGCACTTTCCGGAACTAAAATATGACAATTTCCATGGCATGTAATGCCACTCTGCACAGAAAATTTGTTTGGTATAATAAACAGGTAGACTGCCATAGGCACTATCCATAACCACCATCAAAATCACCCTTGTACAATCATAGATTCTATAACTTTTCCTCAGATCAATTTCTGTGAGTTTTCCATGACTTTACGGGGAAAGTTTTTCCCAGGATTTTCAATGACTGTGGGAACCCTGTACAAGGAGAAATGGGTTACTGTACTGCGGCATGGCATGCCTAGTGTTGATCTATTCCTCCATTGTTGATCCCAGGCCTGCTCCTAGGATGGTCTTTTCCTTTCTCCATGGTCTCATCACTCTCAACTGAAAAACTAGGCCTGTGAATTTATTCCTGTAAAGTGTGGAATAATAAAGGCAAAATCCATTGTACTTACTACATCAATGTCATGACGTATGTGTTCCAGCCATTCCTCAACGCTCAAAGACCAATTTCTTGATGATATACACGAAGTCGCGAAAATAAGCGTGCGCTCGTGGTATTACTGCACACGTGCACGTGCCACCGCACTCGCGTGTTTGTTTGCAGTATTACAATGAAATGGGTTTCGATGCAGCGCGAGCTTTGCGTAGTGACGTCATGCACGGAGAGCCTGGCTTATGGTGTAGTCCATTACTTCAAGCCCTATTGAAAACAGTTTAAAATCGGCAATGTTGGTAGTCCAATAACATGCGTGCCAACATCCCCGAGGTATTCTGAAACACGCGTTAAATTATTTCATGGTTCCTAATCTTTCACTTTCTGTTCAATTTTCTGTGGGATAAACAATTACATTATGAGTTATTCCCACAAAACAAAATTAGCCTACCCCACGAAAAGTGATTTTGCCGAAGTCTGTTTAAAGCCATTTTTTAAGTGACAACCCTCAACTTTCGGTGGCAATTAGGACCATTTTTCAACAGTATTTTTCAGCCATTCTGCTCTCAGATGAAAGCCCAAAGACCCAGGGATTTGATTCTGGCAAGAATCTACTCAGTCTCACCATTTTGGGGGCCACACAATCTCCTTTTTCAAAAGATACTATGTGTGTGTGTGCGGGGGCACTTTTAATGCTAATGAGCTGGCCAGAAATTCTCACTCGAATTAGTGGACTGCACCCTGTAGACACAGACGAACGCACATTACAAGGTATAGAGTACCGAAGTGTGACGTCACTGTGAACCAGAAAGTGCAGTGCAAACGAATGGAGTACGCGCGCGTGTTGGTTCACGCGCTAATGCCTTTTACACACCAATTGTGCGCGTGATGTATTCACTTCGGTACTCTATTATAAGATGAGGGACCTTGAGCGTTTCTGGAGGGCGTGTTTCCAGCAGACAACCGAGGCGTCCACCTAGGTCAGAGTTATTGGTGGTGGTGGAAGGGGACCGGGGAATACGTGGTGCGTGTGAACCGAATGTACTGAATCAAGTTAGAATGCTTAAATATAATTGTAATTTTGTGTTTATGGAAGCCATTGTGTTCAAACCAGTGCACTTTAATGGATTGCTTTGAGTAGTTATTTTGGCGCTAAAATTTAGATTAAAAATTGAAACAAGAAAATGTTATTTATTGATTGTTCCACCACGATATTGCAAACAATTTCCATCGCTTGCAGCTTTGCAACACAACAGCAGATAACCGGAAAAGAAGATGCGGTCTACGATATAGTTTTGTACCATGACAATATTTTCTCCCCACTCAAAACACTGTCTTCAAATCGCACATATTTTGGTGTAATGATTAATGGGCCAACTGCAGACTCCAAAGTACCGGGCCAAGGTCTGGGCGCGCGTGTACTCACACGTGCGACAAAGTCATGAGAAGGGAGCAAGTTGGCAACAATGGCTTTGATGTCCCTGTAAACAGCATCTCTTTCAGAAAAGAAAAAAAATAGAGGAGGAAAATCACAACAGAAACAACAACAAAAAAATAAATAATTTTTAAAATTTACTATTCATTGTTTCCTCTACAAAATTGCAAACAAGTTGCTTTTTACATACTAACAGCGGCCGGTAGCCGGATAGGAAAGCTGACTCAACGACGATTTCGCAGCATGACAATTTTCCCACACCCACAAAAACACCCGTCTTCGTTCCAGACGACAAAATGCAGCCCAACGGTGCCAAATGACCCCCTGAAGTACGGCAGGCCAAGGACTGAGAGCGCGTGCGCTCACACGTGCGGCAAACTTAGGAAGAAACGGGACCAATTTGCAACATTTTGCTGTCCATGTAAACAACATCTTTTACAGAAGGGGGGGCGAGGAAAATCGCAACAAACACGAGAGAAAATTTCAGGGCCAGTAGCCCGTACACCCTGCTTTGTCTGAGTTTTCGGGCTACAATCGCCCCGTAACTGGGAGTGACTATACTTGTTTTCTCGTAAACAGCGGGGGTACGTCACAGATGCGTTAATAAGTTTCTCTCTGGTACGCGAAGAGGGGACTGAGAGGGGAAAAATTGGACAGCGAGATAGAAGGAAAGGCATTAGTGGCATTCCGACGTGTGCAAGAGGCGTGAAATTTCTGTGTGTTCAGTCACAGAGGGTGGTTTAAAGGAGGCATCATAAGGTAAGGGCTTGGCCGTGAGTTCTGCGCGACCAGCCCCAGGCCATGGTCTCAGCCAGGGTGATTAATCTTACTAGACTGACCGTTTGTTTGGGTGTCATGCGTGTAGTTTTGAAGTATAAAAACACTAGTCTTGTTAACACCATATAAACATTTATGAACGGTTTGTGCAATGCTCGACATCTCACGAGATCTCTTCTTTTTCTTGTGTATTTTTAATTTGCACTACACAGTATGTAATGATCCATTGTTCATCACCCAACATCCCGGGTGAAAAATGTACATGTCATGTACGTAGGCGAAAGTCAGAGAGTCCGCATACTTTTATCTACACAGTCCAATGCATTATTTAGTATTTACAAGCCTATAAGCCCTATACTCAATGTGGTTTCCACGATTTTCGGTTCAAATGGTGTCAGAAATTATAAAGTATCGTGAATTGCCGCAATGTTTTCATAACTTTCAGAGTACTTTAAACACCGAATAATCCCCCAAAGTTATTGAAAAAGCCCCGCACACATAGTCGTGCGTAGATACACCTAGACCTGCAAACTTGCATCCTGGACGCCTTGCTCAGCGGTTGAGCACGTGCATGCGGCATTCTAAAGGTCAAATCATGGTCAATTTAATTGAGAAATGCCAAAGCGATAACATTCAGGAGGACATTAGAGATTACAAGCGTCATCATGACGCCATGCATGGACGGACTCTTTCCCGTTGAGCATCAAATCTGTTTCAACCTCCATGATCCAATTTTGATGATCCCAAGTGAAGTACTCTAGACCGCAGGTGCATACGGCTGCCCGAGTACTGATTAGCTCGTTAGCGCGGAATTGACCATCGAGAGGCATCTTTTCCTGCGGTGTGGGGTGGCGTTCCCATGGTGGTCCTTGAACCACCTCGTAATTTAAAATCTTTCGAGAAATTTACCGGGCGTCCACGAAGCTGACGTAAACAGCATCGACAGACAAGACAATAAGGAAGGGCAGAAAGGTTTGAAGAGAACAATAGTTGTATGAAATGAGGTAAAAACAGTAACGCATTAAGACTTATTTTTTTCGAGGATAATTATCAACTCATCTAATCCTTTTCGAAATAAAAAGACAACCCCTTTAAGTTTAATAATTTTGAATTGAATTTAAATAAAATTTTATAATTAATCATAACACGAGTAATGTATATCTGCATTTTTTTGTCTGGTGCTTTCTCAGAAAGCTAAGAGTCACCAATTTCATAGAGCTGCTTAAGGACAAAATTTGCTGAAGCATGAAAAAACCTTGCTTAAAAAACAAAGGTTATTTGCTGAAACTCTGTCTGGTTGTCATGCTAACCAAAAGACAGCTAACTAAGATCCCAAAACAGTATGCATCACATGGAGTTTTGGCTAGTTACGTGAATTATCAAGTAAGGTTTTCGCGCTTAAGCAAATTTTGTGCTTCATGAAATTGGCCCGGCTGGAATCGTCGCTTAACATGAAATCGTACAAGAAGTGCTAGGCCTTAATTCCTTCTTCCTGAGTTACGGCGACTTTACTGAACCAATGTTCATGATCCTGCATTTGCAAGCAGAGCGCCATGCCAATTTCAATGGAGAACTTACAAGTACAACCCGTGCGGACTGTGGTAATAGTTTTTGGTAGCTGTGATAAGCTTTCCGAGGATTCTCGTCTGGGATGGAATTTGTCCCCTTTACCGTTGCCTGGAACGGAGGCGGTGTTTAGTACAAACATGCCGGGCCTATCCACTGCGAGCAGAAGCACCCCCTCATCGGTTGAAAACATAGCCATGTTGACTGGGAGTGGGAGTATTCTTCGTAGCGATACGACCGTAATGCGTGCAAATAATAGTCGTTTGTGAACCAGCGAGGTTCAGTTCCGACCAAAGCGGCCTTCGTTGCTAAGACAATTGCGCCCTCTCTTGGTCCAGCTCGAGGCTCTTTGCCGTTCCACCGTGACGCCCACACAGAGCTGATAGGTCAGCTACACCCAAGCTCCCGAAATTTGGTGGACCAAGTTCATAACGTGACTGGTTTATTAAACATGGCTCCAAGGCTTGTCAACGTCATTCAAGAAACCCCCCCCCCCGATAAGGCCTTATCAAGCTGTCAAGAAATGACTCAAGTCAATGACTCTATTCGAGTCCCGATACTAGAGTCGCTGCCAGCAAATGGCTTGACTCGAGTCCCTCCTCAGAAGACCTGACTCAAGGGAAATTTAAAGTTAAACAGACTTAATTGAGTCCCAAAAATTAATGTAATGTTGATGTCATGTGTTATCATCGAGAGTAAGATGTGGTGTGACCACATATAGAAACCCAGAAGTAAATTAAAAATGCCCTAAATGATTTTCACTGTTTTTATTTATCATATTGATTTCAAATTTCGGTGACTCGAATTGACTCGAGCTAAATACTTGACACAACTCGACTTGTTAGCTTAATGACTCAATTCGACTCGACTCGAGTCACAAAAATTCGTGACTCGTTACAACTCCGCGGGCCTACATGGCCAATTACACTTGGAAGGGAGTTTACTTCATCATGAAGCGGCAACCAACGAAAGTTCAGAGCCTGCGTGCATGCGATGCTCAATGAGGTCGGGCCTCCAGACGTCACTATACGTGTACTCGTTCCCATGCTCGAAATTCACTTAAACGCTTTGTGTAATCCATTTATTTTTTTTTCATCAGCACCAAAGAGGGTATGGTCAGCTCATGAATAATACCAAAAGCTGGTGAAGTCAATCATGGTCACACACAGTAGCCATCGGGAACACTACAGTTACATTGATTAGCTTTTTACAAATAGTGGCCTTCGACGTTTACTGTTTTTTTTTCTCTTGAGCGCTGGCATGATATGTTTTCCCCGTAAAGCTTTAGGCTCGATGAAATAACAATTGGTATTGTGCTTTTAACAGAATGCGTTTAAAAAAAAGAACAGTTATCGCCGACAGAGCGGCGGTAGCTAATT